AAACACAGATGAAGGGGCCGGCCCCGTGGCCGAGTGGTTAAGTTTGCGTGCTCCGCTTTGGCAGCCCAGGGTTTGGATCCTGGGTGCGGACATAGCACCGCTCATTAGGCCATGTTGAGGCAGCGTCCCACATGCCACAACTAGAAGGACCCACAACTAAAATATGCAACTATATACTGGGGGGATTTGGGGAGAAAAAAAAGAGAGAAGATTGGCAACAGTTGTTAGCTCAGGTGCCAATCTTTAAAAAAAAACAAACATGAAAATTTGAAAGCAATATGTAGGCCAACTATATATCAGAGATTTGGCTCATTTTTTTCAGTTTGTAACCAAATTGTTGACTTTTCTAGAAATGATTATATATAAAACTATATAATTTTCCAGATTTCTCTCTTCCCACTTCCCGTCCTGTCCTCTAGTCATGCTCTACTCATTGTGATTTCTTGTGTGCCATGCTCTTGATTCTTTTGCCTCTGTAGTTCCATCTACCTGAAATTTCAAACTCTCCCTACTCTTCTGCCCACTGTCCTTTTCCTAATACATGCCACTCATTTTTCAATACTCAGTTCAAAGACATTTCTTTAATGAAGCATTTCCTAACCATCTCCACCCCCTTCCTTATTCTTCTTTTCCACCATAACGCATATACCAATGTACCATATTTATTTGTCCATATGACACAGCTTAATTATCCATGCACTTCCAGCACCTGTGCCTTGTCACAGAGTAGGTAGTGAACAAATGTTGGAATGAATGAATGAATTCAATTTAAGGAAAACATCTAGTCTTTTTTTTCTTCTTCTTCTCCCCAAAGCCCCCAGTACAGAGTTGTATATTCTAGTTATGAGTGCCTCTGGTTATGCTATATGGGACACCGCCTCAGCATGGCATGATGAGCGGTGCCATGTCCGTGCCCGGGATCCGAACTGGCGAAACCCTGGGCCTCTGAAGCAGAGCACACGCACTTAACCATTTGGCCACGGGCTGGCCCCAACATCTAGTCTTTTAAAATGAGATGCAGGAGTATATTTTAAATTTGTATGAATTTGTTTGGAATTGAAAAACATTTTTCTGTTCTAACTGTTATACAGTTCTTGGATGCAGGCCAGAGCATAGACAAAACTTTGGAACTGAGACAGTTTTATTTTAGCTCTTCCCACCTCAGTCATTGCTCTTTCTTTCCTTCCACCTCCCTATATCCGTTCCCTCTCTAGGACCCAGAGTCCTCAAACCAACCTATCAGAAATCCATAGATCTTGCTTTGTCATCAAAGAGTTCCATTCTCCAAATGAGGATGCCATTCAGTTCCTTTCATCAAAGCTTCTCGTAGTGTATCGCAGTTTAGGTACTGAGATTAAGAAATCTGATGTAATTAATTTACGCAAATGTAGAAATTACAGAAGATATTGCTTAATATTCTTCTCTCAAGTATTTTCCTGTTAAAATTGGTATACTTGTCAATTCTAATGAATGTTTACATTGTAGGATTTTAGCCTGGATAAGAAAAGAGAGTAAAACAATCCAGATAGTGAAAAAAAGGTACTTTGGTGCAGAACAAATAAGCCCTGATGATAAGAAACAAGCCCTCAGCCATGAGGTTCTCTCCTCCAGCTCCAGCCCAGCAGGACGAATGGGGCAGGCCACCATCTTCCTCTTTTCCCCGGGGAGAAGGATTCAAATACTCAACACCCAAATGACTGACATGTAGTAATTTCATAAATGTTTGTTGAGTGAAAAATTGATGCGGGCATTTAAAATTGTTTTTACATAGGAAGAAACTGAAAATTCCTTTCACATAAGAAGAGAGGTCAAGTCGCCAAAACCACACAGAGAATAAGTGACACGGGTGTAACAAAAATTCAGCTCCAAGCTTCCGTTGCTCTTTCTAGCATGTCACAAACAGCTAGAACATGCTAGAACAGCTGCCCCAAAGTTATTTATTTCCTCCTGTTTTTGGCTGCTGGAGCCACAGACACCTTGAGACATTTTCCTGCAAGAAGCCCTCTACCCGCCTCAGAGGCCCTGCCCCCGCCAGAGCCAGGCGGAGGATGAGAATCAAAGAGGTTTTGTTGTCCCGGAAGGAAGGCCCCTGAGCTGGAACAGTGCCGGGAGGGGATGTGAGAAACAGTGCTTACTTCCAACATTCACGCAAGAACTCAGGGGGACCGTCTATTGGCAGTGGAGACAAGGAGATGTGTGTGTACAAGCCTGGCTTTCAACCAATTTTCTATGGAAAGAGCATTATAAGTGATGAATATTCTTTAACATAATTGGCTTTTATTTTTAAATTGTTTTTTATGAATTAACTTTTTTATAGCATTGATTCTACGAGGAAAGAAAACCATCCAGGATTTGCATCACTGATGTCTAAAGAACTTATGGGACAAATCCATCAGTAAGATGGAAGCTCTCCAAGCTTCCGCCCACCCTCCCCATCCCTAAACCCTCCTCTTTAGAATGCTCTTCTATTGTCACACACTCTGTCATGACCTCAGTATCCTCAGTGACTAAATGAGCACTCTAAATTGACTAAAAGTTGTAAATAGGTGTTTTGCAAGTCACGTGGCTGGGAAACCTAGGATTTCATCTACAGACCGGGCTGTAAGTATTTTAGGAGAACCTTGCAGAGCTGGTTTCATGCCAATGTCGTTAGACGCCACACAGGGCCCAGTACCAGTGTATTTGTTTTAGGTGCCACTTCATTCTTGAAAAAAACATGGATTCAGATAAGGTGTTAACTTAAGGTAACAGAAGGAAAATAAGAGAAACATGGATTGCTAGCTTGAAACTCCCTCTGTTTGCAGACAGGTGAACAAATGATAAATATTAAACCAAGCTTTGCTGAGAAGTGGGGATCTTAGTCTTGAAAGATGAGTGGGAAATAGGCTAGGAAAGTGAAAGAAAGAGGACAGAACACCATGGAGATGGTCTCTATGAAACCTTTCCATCCCCATGTTCCCTGCCCAAGGGAGTGTGCCCTCGTCTGTGCCTCTGCTGTAGCTGGTATGTACTACTGTCACGATACCTCTGACAGGTGTTTAATTCTCAGCTTCCCCTACAAGACTGAGAGCCCCTTGAGAGGAAGGACAGTTCCTGAAGGAGGATGGAGGAGAAGGAAATGTCTGTAGGCAGTTAGATACAACGGTATGACGATTAGAGAAGAGGTCAGGGCAGGAGACAGAGATTTGGAGGATGAAATCACCCCAGGAGACCATATGGAGCTAGCAGAGCAGCACACAGTGAACGGGCTCGCACACCAGTAGAATCAGAGGAGACCGAGGAGGAGAGGTTATGTGACAGATTTCGGGAGGTGAGAACTGAAGAGACTTCGCTGAGTCTTCGGGTTCTGAGGTCATCTGTAGCTTTGCCGGAACAGCCTCAGTAAAGAAGGAGGAAACCACACTGCACCGTGGTAGGAGAGACGGGAGGTGAAGAACTGGAGAAAGCAAGTGTAGACCCGTCTTTCAAGGAACTTGGCCAAGAGTGGGGATTGCTAGAAAGAGACACAGGATTAAAACAATTCTTTTAAGGATAGGAGAGGATTAAAAGAGTTTTTAGCTTCAGGGAAAAGAGCTGATAGAGACCAGTTGAAGATTTGGCAGAGAGCAGACATAAACAATGGAGAAAAGTCATGGAGTAGAAGGGAGAGGATGGAATCAAGCCTCTGTCATGAATAGGCAGCTGCAAGTAAGGAGCAGGTTAGTAGGGATATTAGAGACGGGAGTGTTGAGGGAATTCAGTAAAGGAGGTGAATTTTTCTGAGGCAAGGAGGAGGTCAAAGGAGAGCGACGAAGCCTTCTAATAGTTGCAGAGAAGGATGAAGACAGCCAGTAAAAAGACTCTGGGATAGGGCTGAGGGCAAGCTGGGGTTGGAGTCATGAAGGTATAGGGGTACGAATCATCCTGCACATAGATAGACCAAAGCCTACACAATCCCATAAAGAAGTAATTCCAGAGTTCACGACTAGTTTTCCTGTGTCATGTTCAAGTGCAAACATCCTCTGGCAGGGTATCCCAGCAATTTCATTTTACTTGCTAACTGTGTTGTCCTTTACCCCTTCTTCTCTTCTTCCTTATATCTCTTCTCCTCCAAGTGTATGGATTTTCTCTGTTAGTGTGGGTCATTGAGGAATAAGAGAGCCACATAAGCGAATCTCCTCGTTCACACGCCATGTGTCAGGAAGCTCAGGACCCTGAGTTAGCGGCCGAGTGGATCTTCAGAACAATGTCCCACAAGAGGCTTTCCTTTCATTTCTGGGGTTCGCCGATTTGTCTCTAAATTCTCCAAGTCTTTAAACTTGATGTTATTCGGGGTGTACTCAGTCAAGAATGAATCTCAAGACAAATTGACTGCATAAGGAAATGCAAACATTCTGCCTTTGTGGAAGTTAAAAAGTTGTTTATCATAGTAATGAATAGTTGAGTGACTTTCCATTTAGAAGTCTACCCACTTAATCAATAGGTGCATTATGAAAAACTGGATACATTGCATCACTGTGAAGGACTTTAGATTGTGGTTTGCAAAAGCAGAATAAATTTTCTTGGAGTTGTACCGTATGTACACACACACACACACACACACACACGCCCATTGGCAGACACGGCCACACCTCACAGCGCTGGGGGAAGCCACAGACCTCAGCTGTACAAGCTGAGCCTGGACTGGAGGAACTTTCCGCAAGACAAACAGCCCCACAGACACCGTCTGCGAGCCTGAGCCCCAGGCGAGCGCTGGCAGCCGCAGGTACGCGGTGCTCCCCCGTCAGAGGCTGGGCGGCGCGGCGGCGGCGGCGGGAGGGTCCCGGGCTGCAGAGGTCGGTGCCAGTGTGCACGCCAGCCGGCCGGACCAGCCGCATCCTTGTCCGCCCCTCGCTCGCAGCCCGCCTCGCTCCCCGGAGCCGCCGCCGCCCCTCCCCGCCGGCCTCGGGCGCCCTCCAGCCGCCCGGCTCGCGCTCGCGGCAGGTCCTCCCGCCGCCCGCCCGCCCGCCACAGCCTTGAACATGGCTGCGCGCCCCGCCGCCACCCTCGCCTGGTCGCTGCTTCTCCTCTCCTCGGCTCTGCTCCACGGCGGCTGCCGGGCGCGCTTTGCCGCCGAGCCGGATTCGCAGGACGATGAAGAGGAGGCGGTGGTTTTCCCGGAGTCGCCCGTGCAGAGACCCACGGTGCTCGTGGCCGTCCTGGCCCGCAACGCTGCGCACACGCTGCCTCACTTCCTCGGCTGCCTGGAGCGGCTGGACTACCCCAAGAGCAGGATGGCCATCTGGTGAGCGGCGGGGCTGGAGCGGGGCGGCCTGCCGAGCGCCCCCAGCGCGGCGTGCTCAGCCGTCGTCGCCCGCGCGGGGCCGGGGCTGGCACCGCACTCGGCCGGCGGGCACTGGGCACCGCGCCCCGAGCGCCCGAAGCCGCCGCTGCTGGGCCAGGGGACCGCTTGGGGAACGTGATGCGCACACTCCTCGCTGCTGCGCGTGTTCTGGGTGCATCAGGCGGTCGGGTTAGAAAGGATGCGCGGGTCTGTGTGCGCACGGGATGCTAATGGGAGTAACCAGTCTGCCTGAGCTCCTGTGTAGGGGGTGCTGTGGATCGGGGTGGCCTCGTCCCTCTCCAGAAGGGCTTGGAAGGTCCCGCAAAAGTGCTAGCTTCTCCCCCTTTCAAGTCTCGAGGTTTCCTTCTTCCCCACCTCATATCCCTAGCCCTGGAATGAGGGCATAGGGTGCCCGTCGTCGCCTACACCTCCAGACGCGACAGGGAACGTAACAGCGGCTGGCAAGGGGGGTTCTGCAGTGCCTGGGGTGGCAAAGAGTGTGCTGTCCTCGCTTCCCGGAGCCCGGCTGCTGCTCCCCTCTCTGAGGCTAGAAAAGTGGCTCCTGTTTCTCCTAGGGGGAAGGAGAGTCTGGACCCAGGGTTTGAGGCTAGGTGGGGCCCGCGAGCCCTGTCTCCTCTGAGCCCTCCAGGCTGTCCCCGCCTGTGCATCCTCCTGCGGCACATTCCCAGCCACAGATGCAAACCGCGCGGGGCGGCCTGGAGTACTGCGCCCTGGGGACGGAGCCGCCTTTAGGAGGGTACACAGCCCAGTTTTTTTGCCCTTAGGGTAGAATCCTGGGCCTGGTTCCTGTGTTCGCTGCGGGAAAAGCCAGGGCGTCAGTGGGGGTGGCTGCCTGCCCCAACTTTAGAACTCGGTCCAGTCTCACACCTTTTATAAACGCAAGTATCAGAGGGCACGAGAAGATACTGGCCAGGTGAGCCGCCAAGGGGCCTGTGGAGAAGGAGGTGGACGCTGGCCAAAGGATAGGCAGCCAGGTGCATACACAGGAGGACCATGGCCCTCTAAGGAAGACAGAGCCCAGGTCACTCCGGAGCAGTTTGTCTTGTGTTGATAAAGGGAGCTGTCCACAGACAAGACACATCCTTAAAGCAGCAGTTGGGCAGTAAAGGAAGGATAAAGCAGTAGCTGGAATTGGCAGCCAAATGGTACCTGGTGGGAGAGGGGCAGAGGTGCGAAAGCAAACATGAGATATAGTGCAGCACTGTGCTATACACTGCTTTACTATATGCCCTGCTATACGTGACTGCTGGCACGGAGAGGGGCATGTTATGTGGAAAGTGGGAACGTTGATGCAGCCAGGTTTTAAACCAAAAAGAAGAATTTTTTTTAACCATTTCAGTACCAAAAGAAAATTTCGCAAATGTCAGTTTTTAACTGCTTTTTTCAAAAGAGATGTTTCCAATATGGTCTTGATCTTTATGCATAGTTAAATTTTAAAGAACACGACAGTACTTACTATAGGAGGTTAGTGAGGAGTAAACGGTACTTGGCACAGTTTTGCTCCCTGGTGTGCAGACATTATCTCTTTTATCATACAGTATACTTACTATGATCCTTATTTTACAAACGAAGAAAGTGAGACTTGGATCAGTTCAATAACTCAGAAGTCGCAGAATTAATAAATGCTAAAACTGGAATTTGAACCCAAGTTTATCCCTAAAAAGGTAGTAGTGGGAACATGATATAAGCAAAGCTTATATAAACCTATAAGCTACAAACTAGAAGACTTGAGTTGTTTGTCACTAGCTTGATATGTGGTTTTGGGCCAGTTGCTTGGGTTTCATAGACATCAGTTTCCTCAGTAGTAAAATGAGGGAATTGGAATAAATGATTTCAAAAATTCTTTCTGGCCCTTGAATTCCATACACTTTGTGACATGATCAGAATCAACGAGCAGTCATTGTACATCCTAAGTCCGGGATCTTCCAGGTTCTGTGGACATTGGTGTTCTGCTTGGATGGGTGGTGTTCCAATTCTGCATAGACCTTTGGGATCTATTTTCCCTTCCTCTCATTCATGGTTCATGCAATGGTACCTTGTCCTTCATGGCCAGTGTTGGAAAGTTAAGGAAGAAACCCCCGGCTTGGGTAAGACTTGGGTAATACCTGCATTAGCCACGAAAGACTCCTCTTTGAGTTCTGGATTAGAAACCTTATATCATTTATTTGGTAATAATAATCAAAATGGAAGTTTTTAAATGGTCCTTTACAGCTCTCAAAATATATTCACTGACTACATTATCTCATTTGATTCTCACTATCATTCTGTAAAGAAATAAAATTATCTCCATTTCATAGAAGAAAACATTGTGTCCAAAGTAAATGACTTACTCAAGGTTACATTTATTCATAAATTTCACAAATACTTAATAGTAAGAGCTCACGGTTCTTCTAAGCATTTTACATCAACTTTCTGGTTTAATCTTCATGATAACCCTATAAGATATGCACTCTTATTATACCCTTTTACAGATGAGAAAACTGAGGCACAGAGAGGTTGTGCGAGCATATGCTCCTAATGACCTTCTTTTGTAAGAACCAGACATTATGTCAGGTTGGGGCTGAAAAAAGTTGAATAAGATGTGGCTTCTCACAGACAAATATGATTCTTCTTACTAGGCAGTAGAAGGTGATCTGAATGGCATTTATAGGGTTTGGGTGAGCGACAAAGGACTTCTAAATCAGATTGGGGCAGTTGTGTGATCCTGGAAGGTGTGTGGTCTTGAGAGTTGACACTTAGTTTGAACTCGGTTTTGAAGGACAAACAGGAATCCACTAAAACTTGGGAAGGAAGGAGGATTCCAGAAAGAGGGAACAGAGAGGTATAAAAAAAAAGGCACTGATGTTAACCAGAGTTTCCTATCAGGGGAGATAAAGTGGGTGGCAGGTCTACTGATTGTAAATCTCCAAATTCATTGCATTGTACCATCAGAGTTGGCACTAGGAGAATGTTTGGCTGGGAAGGTTATGGGATGTAACCCTCCTGGAGGGGGTGGTACCTCAGTTTAGGATGCTACGGCTTTGAGGGGCTCCTGCCAATCACTTGCCTCTAGTCTCTCTCCCAAGCTCTACTGACATTCTGAGATTCCAAACCGACTAGTATGCACTCTGCAAAGCCAGCATACACTGATGTCAAAAATGATCAGTGTCAAAAACGGCTTTGAGCAATCCAGAACTTGGCAAAACAGGACTATGTTGAGTCCAGAGTCTGGGCAGCCAGTTTTCATTTAATCTTATCTCAGTGACTGTGCAGGCTCACTCTTCTCTTCTCATTCATCTGCTTACCTCTAACGATGGCTGGAGGAGCATCTGCTAAGACTTCTTTCCCGCCTGAGTAATTGGGAGGCCTGGCTCACTGATCACATTCAGACTTCCTGGTGATGTGATTTTTCTCTCACCTAAAGTTCTGGACCAGATCCGTGCTAAGTACCAACAAATTGACTTGAAAATTTTGCTGTTGGAGAATGAATGCAGTTATCTCAGTTAGCATCAAGTTTATTTGAATTAGGCTTAATTAAGGAAAGTTTCTGGTTTAGAGATACTTTGCACCAGCAAAAAGAAAAACTTGTCACATTTACCTATATGAAGTCGAAACCCCACCAAACGGTTTTCTTCCAAATATCACAACTCTGTGATAAGGAACTAAGATATTCCTTGTGTTCTAATTAAAACCTGCACTGAGTTAATGGGAATCACTGCTGTGCTGAGACGAAGGGAACTGTTTGGCATTGTGACATGAGGAAGTGCGCTTCAGTGGGTTCTCTTTAATTCAGTGGAGCCATGAACAGCGGCCTTAGCAATAGAGGCAAGGCTGATCTCATCCCCCTTCCCAAACCTATGATTAAGGGGAGCAGTGCCAAGGACCAGGATAATGAAAAATGGAGCAGGGCACGAGGAAAAACATTTGACCCAAAAGATACATTAAGTTAGTTTGTGTTTTGGAGAGCCTACCATTGCCTGTGGGAAGACAGTTGGGATTCAAGCGTCTGTGCAGTCACAAGGCAGTAACTGCCATGTAATTACAGAATGATTTGGGCATTTCATTTGGTAGAGTTTTGAAAAGCAATACACTACATTGGGAACCATTGTATGGCTCTCTAAATAAAGAGATGAGTTACTGTTGACAGAAATGTGAGCAATGATATTTCTACCTGTTCTGGGGCACTGATCCTGACATTTCACACACTACTTTACCCGTGCAGTGTTTGAGGATTAGCTTGAATTTATCTCCACTCCTTGATCCTCAACCAGTAGCGCTTTGGTGAACGTTCAACTAGATACACTAATATAAGTGTGTTTGTAAAGTGTTCCAAGCTACTATTAATGATAGTTTTCAGCACCAGCGGTGAGAATGATGTTACGTTTTATCATTACAATCTTGCCATTAAATTTACGTTATCTCTGTGGATAGAAGTTTCAGATCCTAGCTGAAAAAGTAGATGATTCTTTGGTTCTCTTCTCTCTGTTAGTCTGTTTTCCTCAGCTTTCCACCTTTTTTTCCTTATTTTTCCCTCCCTGGGGGTTTAGTGCTGAGGAGGGAAGATGCAAACTTAGAGTCCCATAGACTGGGGCTCAAATCTCCTGTGTGATCATGGGCTCATCAGTGAACCTCTACTCGTGGCTTCCTCAGCTGGAGATGACTAATAATGACACCTACCTCAGGATTATTATAACAAGAAAATGAGATAATGTATGTACAATGTCTTTTACATAAATGCTGCTAAATAGATAATAGTTGCTATTTCGTATCCATCTTTTCCTTTTGGTTCCATCTCCTTTATCTTTCTCTTCCCAAATGAAGATTTAAAAAAAGAATGTTCAAAAGGAACTCTGTTTATTTTCTTCCTTCCAGCAAAAAACTATCAGCAAAATGAAAACTAACATTTATGGAGGTGCTGTTGTAAACTCTTTGTTATGATAACTGATTCACTCTTGACAACA